TTGAACTGAAAATGGAAACATTTATTTATCTACTGTAAATGAACTGAGAAATAGTATCATTGGTTAATCCTTTTTGTCTCCTCTTATTCAAATGCATAGAATGGCACCTGTCAGATTTGTGCAAAAGAGGAATGATGGGCCAGTGACTTTAATGTCATATAACACAAACTAAAGGAGCAGTTGACAACAACAGCAACAACCTTTGTTTCCTCTCGACTTAACAAAAAATATTTTTTGCAAAGTTAGGGGCCTAGCTACCTGAAATAACTTGAAGCAGCAATCTTGACTACCAAAGTAAAGTTTAAAGCATGTCTTTTACCTGATGAGCGGCAAAGAGCCTTAAAGTTATACTCTTCAAATAAAATTTCATCTGTTGCATCCTAAAAGCAAAGAGTGCATGTCATATGCTAAAAAATACATATTTTCTTGCATTGTATTATAAATTACTATGAACAGACTTATTCAAGATCTAGGTATTGCATAAATTCTGAATACAAGATTACACTTTGGTAGGAGAGTATGTGTAGTGACTGGTAAAGCTACAATAAATTAGGGCTGTGGGTTTAAAACCCCTAGTCTATACTATTTATGAYATATGAGTACCTAAAAATAATATAAACCTGTACCAAGATGCACTTAGAGGGGTAGTGTAAATCCTTAAATTTTGTTGCACTTGCATTCATACATGTCAGTGACTAATATCTATCAACTGAAGTTTGCATTTATACACAAAAACATACGTGTACATGACGTACATATACATTAGTTATAGGTTACATGACTTGTATTGCCTGAATCAATCTATGGAAAATGAAATGAAACAAACCCTTTTGCCCAGTGATGTTTTCTTATCCGACTGTGAATCTACAAATAACTGGGTATTTTGACTTCTTTATGAAACAAATTAACTTCAAATTAATTAAGAAAAATACCTACAAAATTTCAATTTATTCTATATAATATTATCAAACATACCTTGATGGAAGTAAAGTTGAAGTGTGGTTCAGTCAGAAGAAGAATTGTTTCAGGAAAGTCAACCTTACAAATGGAAGGACACAAATTTATCATTTTAAAGCAACAAGTTTTGTGCATAGATTTGTATATTTGTTACGGCAGGTTCAACTGTAAATGTCATTTGTTAAGGTATGGGTCAAGTGACCATGCAAAACATAATTCAAGCACATTACACCAGGAAAATTGGGAGGGGGGGAGGGTTTGAATGGTAAGTGCTGCACAACGGGGTTAGGGGTATATAGCCCTTGATTTACACCAGTCCATATTCAAGAGGTACTTTCTAGTCAAGAATACTTCAAATGCACAAGAGCTTTGTTATCAACAGCAATTTTAAATTATTACAAGGGAATGTGATTATACAGAGAACAAAAGGTTGTGATCCTTGTGCTACATCCAGCAAGCTATCAAAAAGAAGTTGTCATGCAAAGTGAAGTTTTCAAAATTTACTTAATACATTCCAGGAAGGCGTATTACAAATTGGCCCGTTTCTAGAATGTAAATTCTAAATCTAAAATAGGGTCCCAAGTTGGCAACCTGAGTGGCACCAAAAACAAAACCCACCATGACTTTGGTACAACAAAACTATTGAATACTATATGGTAGCAATTTTTAATGGAGCTAATAAGAAAGCAAATGTTAGTTCTTACATATAAGTGAGCAGAAGGTCTGTATGGGAGAATCTTGTCAAGGTCAAGATTCTCCCACCAGGGCTGTGGTCTAGCAGAGCCCGGGTGCCTCAGGTGACTAAGTTTTGTCTTTGGGCAACTTGTTTAACTTCATTCTTATGAAAGCTTGTTAGGGCTGGGTACCCAAGATTTCCTACATAAGAACCCTTGGACACCTTACAATTTTGCTTAGAGCAAAGGCTTGCCCACACAGACCTCCTGTTAGGTAACACAGTGATTACTGTATACCCAATTGAGAAACCAACTTAAATTTGCTGAAAACCAATCATGCAGCCAGTTTGGTTTCTTGGTCAGCAAAACTCATCTATTTTGTCTTCAGCTGGCATTTGATTGTCTGAACTGCCAAAGTTGTTTGTTTTATTTACCTTTTGCTCCTTTTGGCCCTTTCATTTTTATTTATTAATAAGTATTCATAAATTTGAACATTCAGTTCCCTGTCCAACCCATCTAAAACTGGGCAAATGCTTTTGTATTTTCAGTTGTACCCTTCTCACAGCAAATGTAGCTGCTAGACCAGTCCAGACTGAGAAATCTAGACCATAGTCAACATAATTATGTATTTTTTTTTTTTAACAAAACCAGTCCTTGTGTGACACAGCCATGAGGTAAAGTGGACTAATGGACATGCTAACATCTTTTTCAATAGCACAAAACCTACGACTACGCAAGTGTAATGATTAGTGCATTTCAAGTGATTATTCCTACAACGTGCTACTGTAATTTAAAAAGTTGTCAAACTTCTTCCTTCGGAACACACAGTAGAGTAAGGGTGCAGTATATTTCTAGCTACCTTCATAACTTCCTTGCCAAACATGTAGTCCCATATTTGCTTCTCTACATCCCAGTTGACTAAGAAGCCCTTTTGGAAAGGAAGCACGTAAAACAGACCCGAATAATCTTTGCACTCCTCGAGCTGGTCGCCTATAAACAACTTTCTTCTCTCGCTCTTCGCTTTGAAAATACAATTCGGAATTAGTCTAAGGAAGTAAGATAAGACGCCAATGATTAGCTTAGGGAAATAACACTTGTGTTTTTGTGGTTTTGTTCTGTTGATGTCTTACCTTGGACTGTCTGTGGTGTTAAATCCTATCTTTGCTGAACTGGCGCCATTATCAAGCACCAGAACCACCATCTTGGAATCACTGCTGGATACCACGTCCCCGCGGGCTTCAGCAACTTGAGCAGTACTGGTTACAATAATTTTGTGTGA